CTCAAAATCGCGCTAGTTTAGTATTTATTGATATTTGTATAATATAATAAGATAATGATGCAATACAATTGATCCACTTTGCTTCTCCTTAACACTTCCTGTATACAGCGTGTCGTTACCATCGCGACAATAAATGAACCCACGTCTAACGCTACTTGCCAATAATCATAAAGAATATTAACGTTAAAGAAAATCCATAATTAAAAAAAATATTTTTCAAACAAACTAATTAAGTAAAAAAGAAACAAAATTTGTAACACCTATACAACTCGCGCCACAGCGTCGTATTACAAGCCTCTCCTTCTAACAGTATGTTTTGTCTCTTTTAAATTCATTCAACCCATTCATATGCTTTGTGACCTTTACAAATGAACTTTACGTTACGCTTTTATAGGTAAGGGTGTTCTAAAATTCTTTGTTTTGGAAAATTTAATAACTCTGTAAATATTGATGTTTACAGAATTTAAATGTTTAATACAACTTTAAAAAGTTATACCCTATATGTGTGTTTATTTATTGTCACGATGGTAACGACACGCTGTATACAAATTGGTACGTATGACTATATCTCTGGTTATAGTCCCCCAGATGCATCGCCTGGTCACTATGAGGCGAAACAACGTAACCATTTGGCTGTCATCCCAGTAATGAATATTACAGTATTCGAATTATTTACATAGGCCATGATTGGCCGTTTATCTCAGTACGAATTCAATTACATTGGAGACGCTATCACGGGTAATTGCATGTAATTGTATAATACCAGTCTATCCGCGCACTTACATTGCACCGCCTCTGGCAAAAACGTAGCCGAGTTATTTATGTGGCCATTTCTCTAGAGCTGTTTGTTTATATTGAGTCAATTTTCTTCACAGAGTCCTGGTAGACCATAAATTGTCAGACCTTCTTTTTAACAATAAATGACTAAATATTTTTTGTTGTTTAAATATTAATACTACATTCAAGTATCAAGGGCTCATTTATTTATCTCGTGCAATTTTATTGTTTTTATTTGTATATTACGCGCTTAATTCCGAAGCTAAAGAGTTATTTGCAATTGCAACAATTTTGTCACTTTTATTAGAATTAAAGTTCCCAAACCAAATTTAACTTAATGCATTTGATGAGCTTTAAAAGCATTGATACCTGCTATTTAAGTCCAGCTTTACGTGAATAATTTAACCGTCACAGTTCAATACTAAGAAACATCTAACATTTTTATTATTTCTTCTATAAATTCAATCTTTATACATTTTTGTTTAAATGTTTTTTAATTTTTATCAGACTGATGTGGCGGAGCCGGTATGTCGTTATTTAAAATGGGAGAGGGACGTTCGTTGCATCGAAGGAATAACTGAAAGACACTGTTTATAAATGATTTATGTCGACTGTCGTTCACAACAGGCACTGTTTAGGATAACTAGAGTTTGTTACATTAACTTAGAAAACAGTGCTCACTTGTTTTCATTTTGTGCTATATAATTACGTTATCAATTATTTCAGACGCAGTTATAATATCCTTTACATATGTCAGGATTCAATCATGAATTTCACACACATATTGTGACCTGAAAGTAAATAAAAATACTCTATACCTACTTGGACAAATTAAATTGCATCCTCTGAGTTGGCTAGCGGGTTGTCATATAACTTATCCTTATTGGTATTTTTTTTAATTTGAGAATTAGGTGTCTGCTCTGTGCGAGAACAAAAAGCAATCGACTACATTATTATATTTTAAGTTGCAATTGTTCATTCTATAGAGTAAAAGTAATTTTTAAGTGCTACTTTTGATTATAAACATTATGATTGGAATGTCATCTTACAGGAATCTTTATATCTCGTTATGATGAAAGAGAAAGGTATGCTTATTACCTTTATTAAATAAAATAAGTTGTTTTAAACAATTACGTATAAAAACTGTGTTTTAAATTATGTTTTCAATGTGAAAAATACTCAAGATAAGTCGAGGAAAAAAGTGAGATATTCACTCGGGCGGAGAGTGGCTTAACATAATAGCGCCGTCCGATATTTCGACTGTCAGAATTCATCGGGATAACCCGGTCATACGCTTCGATTACTATTTTCGATTTAATGCAATGCAAAATGGCAAAAACAATATCATAAAATACGCAAACATGATACCGACGGCCTTCAATGCTTATAAATACTTTCGATCAAAATATATGATAGATCGCTCCGTGAATAGTCAGTTGGATGCTTTCAAAATTTTCAAACGGCGTGACGCCCTCTGGATCCAATTAATGAACTTACAACTGTGTAAAAACATTTCTCCACATGTTTTGCATTATCTGCGATGACGAAAGATCAAAAATTATGTGTTAAGTATTTAGTGGAAATTAAGTGTGACCTTCTTGATATCCTTTTTGAAGAGTGCGTAGATAATTAGTAGCAACAGAAATACTATGAAAATATTTAAGAAATTAACAATTAAAAGAAAGCAAAGGATGAAAGTCACCGGAGAAAACATAATACGGAGCGAACAACAAGCGGGTACAATATTAAGTTGTATTTATTTAAATAAATAATAATATATATAAATAATCAGCAAAGCTTTATCTATTACTTTCGAGAATAAGGTATGCAATACGCTTCGATTGGCTATTATAAGACACTGAAGAAGTCGGTCTTTGAACCCGGGTGAGACGATTAACGATGAGCTGAACAAGAACTTTTCGAGAGCAAATGCTCGAAGACGATTCGAGAAGCAATTGATAGGGAGAGATCATTATTCAATGAAGCCGTCAACCCAATGTGCTCACCATCCTATTTCTGGATCATTGAAGAGACATTGATTTCGACGTGATATGTCGTAAAACCTTGCCTGTTTCCGTTTCTTATTGTAGATTGATTGTCAATAGACTTGTCAAGTTATTTGGTACGAACTGCCATTTATTCCGCCCTGATCCTAGCCACTGCGTTAAAAATGTATTAACTTACTGAGCTTTAGTGAGCTTTGTACCGCATTATTCATCGTAGTTAAGCTTTAATTTTTATCACATTGCTAAAAGCATTCTGTTATTCTTCCTCGTTTCGCCCGTGACCTCATTAATATATTAAGTATACTGTATTTTTATCCAACATACCTCGTGCGATTAAAGATGTAAAACAAGTAGTATTTTAAAAAACACTCGACTGTTATAGACAAATTAAGTTGTAACCTTTGTTGTGGTAGGCACAAAGCTTATACATTTATGCCGAATATTTTCCATGTGATAGTTTCATAAAGATCCATAAAGTGAACAATGCGTAATTTCGTACATTGTTTCTTATTCTATATGTGACAACAACAGCCATTCGTTGGCCTTAAACATTAAGGACTTTTGAAAAACTACGGCTGTTAAATTTCTAGCAACGAGGTTTTTTTTGTAATGTAAAAAGTTGGTAAACGAGTAGACGATTCACCAGATGCGTTGCCATCCCTTACAAAAGTGAGATCGTGGTACTTTTAATTAGTAAATGATAATATATTAAATAAATGTAATAACGTTTAGTTCTCAAACTTTTCTATTATTGTAGGTATATCCAATATCTATAAAAGTACTAATTCACATTTAAAAATAAAAATTATGATGGCAGTTGCTTAGAAGCACATTAATCTTTGTTAAAAGACATAATAATCAAAGATATATGTGTTAATAAGTTAAAAAGACGTAATTAAAAAAAATATTTAAAGTTTTTCTTTAATAAAATTTTTATCAGCAGCCTAAATTGCATGATTTGCATAGTCGCTGAACACTGTTAGGGGCACTGCTATCATTAATGATTGAAATATCTGTTTTTATATTATAATAGCCAACTTTAAGCGATCGTCCTGTAGTTATCCGGCCAGTGTGGCCAGTGTGGCCTGTGGAACGCCTAAAGTGACTCAAGTGCACCCTTATTTGCATACTGCTCGGTGCTTAGTAGATTGCAGTAGCTGTGAGTGTGGTAGGTATGCAAATCACCAGAGCTTATAAATGGTTTAGGCTATGTCATAATATAACCAAACAAAATGTGAAATGTTCAGTGTGGTGCTTATTGGCTACTAACTGCTGCCCGCGACTATGTCTGCGTAGAATAGGTTGAAGGTGTAACAGACAGAAAGACAGATATACATAAAATATGTATATAAATTATAGGCTATGTCTTATTCTGATGTATAAGCTATATTATTGCAAAAGTTTCATTAAAATCCATTCGTAGTATTTGCGTGAAAGAGTAAGAAACATCCATCCATACAAACTTACGCCTTTACAATATTAGTAAGGATTTTTGTTCATATTCGATTTAAGAATGACTAATGTAAAACCGACATTTGATAGAAGTTATTCATTAATATCTCTTAAATATGTTAAAATTTTTCTATGATTATATCTCAAAATTTTTGTTTTAAAATATGAATTGCCTTAATATAACACGCCTTAATACGCTCATATTCTTGAACTGTTTAATTTGTCGTTCACCGGTGACCATCTTTCTAGGCTTTTGCTTCCATAGCGCAAACCATAAGTAAGGGGACGGTAGTTAAATGTTGTAACATAAAAAAAGGTGTGTGTACTTATGTACACGCGTAGAAGTTATACTTTTTTGGCGTAACAAGATAAAAATCTTTTAAAAAATTTTATTTTTCGCCTTACTCTACATTTGTAGAGAAAACGACACTAACAATAGAAAAAAGGTATTTAATACATTGAAAGTTTTATTATAACGCATTATCTAGTTAAATAAAGTTTATTTAAATATCACAAAATAAATATCGTGAATACAGTTGTCAGTTCTCACGCAAACATACGTAGATGTCTAGCTAACTTCAGGGTGTCGGTTTTTCGTGACGGTGTGCGCGCGCATCGTTAAACTTTACTCTCATAATTTTTCCCTAACGCGCCAAAAGAAGTATAACTTCAAAAAAATAAGTTAACATAGGAAAGGATTAAATAAATATCATTGAAACTGTTCACAATTCGACATGTAGGTACGACTGATGGAAAGTTGCTTACCTTCTGGTAGAGGAAGGGTCTGGTGAGGGCGAGGTAGCGCTCCAGGGCCATGGTGACCGCGATGCAGACGCTGCCGACGCCGAAGACTCGGAGGAGCACCCTGGCGGCGCAGTACAGCCGCGTGTTGCGCGCCCCCGGCACCTGCTCCGACACCACCATGGCGCACACCATGCCCACCTGCGCACCAAAGACTCGCGTTACTCATTACTTTGGCAGAATCAGTGACTACTATGATGTTTTAATAAAGATGACACATGTCCAAACTGCGCGGCGTTTCAAAGTTGTTTACATTATATGACATTTATAACTGAATGTGACAGATGATATAGAACGTATCATAGGGAAAGAGATAGCAGTCTATACAATCTACTGTAATTACACCAATCGGCGTATTTGAGTCAATTGCGACGGCAATTTGGGTGCCTCAGTTTCAGTGCGCTTGTGTAATATCTATCTCGTATTTGTATTGTTATTTATTATTATTTATTTTATTGTATTGTTATTTATTATTATATATAATATCATTGATTGACTACAGCACAGAAGTCTGGAACATAGAAAACTGGTTTATAAATATGTATGCCATAATGTACCAATCGTATAAAGTTCCAGATAACAATTAGCATAAACTTGAGATAGAGAATTTTTCACATAACCTCTATGAATAGGAGGTAATGTATCAGAGCTATACTATTGACTCGGTGGTGCAGTTGCTGAGTTATTTGTTTATTACTAACATCACTTACATGTTCTTCCCACCTGCTTGAAGTAAGGGCAGGGGTAATAATTTAAGTCCTCAAATTGTCCTTCAACATTCTCAGTCACTGGGCTTACAGCTTCTATCTACCTTTCAAAATATTTTCACTTAATTTTACTGTAATTTCAGTCCCAATATCATAACATGTGAACTTTATTCTGGCAATATTTTTTGTTACAGAATGAAGAACATTTTATTGTATCTATTGCCTGTGCAAAAATTAAACAAACTGTCGTTACCGTTGGCGTCAAAACTTTGTCAAGCGAAACTTGCTTAAAGTATTTGCTCAGTGTCGAGATCGACCGGTCTTGTGCGTTGGGTTTTCCTCTTTATTGCAACTCGCTACTTTTAAACGCGGCTAATATTGCGTTACAAAGCCACTAGTTTCTGAAAAACCAATTATTAACTTATACAATCTGCTTTCTACTTGTAAACTGGAACTTTTAATAAAGAAAAGAACATATTACATTCTTGACATGATACACTACATGTACTCTTATATAATTGCATGTATACCCTTATTAAATTTGCTTTTATAAAAATATTGTGTGCGCTGCGGCCGTTAAACTCCAGTTCAAAAGCTCTATATTATTCACCTCCATCCTCTATATTATTTTTGGTGACTACAGCAACTTTTTACGCACTGATAGTAAAAAAAATACGCATTGTTTATCCTCCCCAATAATAATGACAAAATACTACCGTCCAAAATGTGTGATTTATCATCACACGTTTTGGACATAAAAAGCTTGTACTATGGGTATTAGATAACTGATAAACATACTTAAACATTTTTTGTACACTTTTCTTTTTGTAAATAAATACATATTATAAATATATACACGCCCAGACATTAGAAAAAAGTTGTTGTTTGATATTCATCACATCACACATTATTTTTCCATTAGGGGGATCGAACCCACACCCTCTGGTGCAGGAGGCAGGTAACCTCCCACTTGGTTAGGTTGACATTTGTGACAACAACAAGATAACAAGACCAAAATTTTTTCTGTACTACCTATTTATCAGCAAATAAAGAAACTTAAACTACGCCATTCGGGTCGTCAAGTCATTGTAACTTACTATAATAATTACAAAATCTTTATTATTTATAAAAGTAAAAAAAGATTTTCTGTAAAATATAAAACTTACCATACCTAATATGCAACATTATATGTAAGAAAATTAATATGTTTTTCTCATCATATGTATATACAAATAATCCGCACTATAACGCGGTAGATTGGTTCCACGTTATAGGAAAACATGTGTATTCCTGTATAACGCGTTTTTACGACGATATTAAGATAAAATATGAACTGTACAAATCATTATAAATATAGACACAGTATAGAAATATGTATGTGGGAAATCCCCGCGTTATATGGGAGAATGCCCGGATTGTACGAGGGATTGAAATTGCGTAATATGAAAACGGGGATTACTCTATTATCTACATCAACGCAAAATGTATCATTAATGTACAATTGCTTTTAGTTAATGAATGAAATCTGAAAATCTATACTTTCCAATATGTTTATTACGAACGTTCTGTTTTGATAGAAGCACCGTACCTCAAACACTTGACTTAACTTTTAAATAGAATTGTTTTGTACGCGTAAATGTGTCTCACTTGTTTTTGATTTTGTCCTGCGGCCTTGTTTTGTCTTTTGTTTTTTAAAGCTTACGGAGCCCACAAATAAGCTTAAGACCTTAGACTTTAAGTTGTGAGTGTAACTGTATACTATTAGGTGTGTACTTTTAAAAGAGCGGCTTCAACTGCCACTGAAACCGGGTATGCACATCTCGACATTTTTTGAAAACTGTGGCGTTTGTCCGTTTGTTGTAGGAGACAATACCCAAACTGAAAATAAAGCTATTTGGGATACCAAAGCTATTGAATTTTAAGTTAGTGTTTGGTTCCATTTAGAAGATTTGGAAAAACTTAATTGTTTTTTTTTTCTGTCGGTTGATATTCATCTTCATAAAATTTAAATCAGATCTTAGGTGTTAATACAGATAGAGCAGAGTCTAGACCGTTTTCTAGTTACTTCATAAAATCATTCACCTGTTTATAGTTTTAAAGAAAAACGATCGGATCAAAAATCATAATTTATAAAAAAAACTAGCTGTCCCGGCAAACGTTGTTTTGCCATATAAACTATTTAGTTTGGACCACCCTTAACATTTAGGGGGATAAAAAATAGATGTTGTCTGATTCTCCACCCTGGCCGATATGCACACAAAATGATTATATTCACGAAAATCGGTCAAGCCGTTTCGGAGGAGTTCAATTACAAACACCGTGACACGATAATTTTATATATTAGATATAATAATAAGTATTGATCTATTGTTGTCCTACCTACAAAGTTCAGATTTTTTTTAACTATGTCTACTTAGACAAGTTACTACGTTCCCTAAGTAGACTTGGATCCTTAAATAAGACTTGGAAGGTAAAGGATTATATCGCCCCTCTATTCCCTGTAATAAATAAACTCACACGCTATACATGTTGAGGAATGAGAAGATCGAGTTAAAAGTTTCTTTGTCGATTATATTAGCTTTATTTTCCATTATTAAAAACAATAACACAATTTTTACGTCTTTATAAATAGGTACACGAAGATACTGTATCATTGTGTACCTCATTTTTTAATAAAATATTAGATATTAGAAATGCACAATTATTATCCTGCTGTCATTCAAAAGAACATAAAATTCTTGTCTATGAAAACTTAGGACAGTTCGTCAAATCCTAGCGTGGCGAAGCTTATGTACGAAGCATTGTTAAACCTTCAGGCCGAAGGACTCCATTGTGGGTCCATTATGGGTCCGAGGCCGCGCGTTCGCCGGCGTCGGGATCTGGTGAACCGTGGCGAAACACAATCCAGCCCCGCCGGATATATATCATCCCGAGAGCTTTCCATTACGCGAAACGTGTGGCGGAACAAAGGGAACGCGGCGACGCGAATCATGCGGGCTCTGTCAGAAATAACGAGTAAAATATTCGGTGCTCTGTTAGCTCTTTTTTGCACCGTAGGAAAATAATTCTGTGTTACAAAAAATATCACTCATGCAAAATACACTCCGTTTAATAGGTCCCGTCTGGGAAGCGAACTCACAGTACAGAAAAAATAAAATAAAAACGCTAAGCTGAAAGCCTAAGCCGTTGCGTTATACATGTGCAATCGACAAATGATTTCGTGCCTTTTAAAAACGGCATTCGAAGTTAATTGAATCCATTTTCCTGCTTATCAAATGTAACATTTAATTTAAATGACCGTATTAATATGGGAAATTATGTATTCCTTAACGTAGTAATCGGGAAGTGGTTCGCTATAAATGTATCAATTATTATTATTATTCGCTTTAAGGAACGCTTTTAACTTTAATATAAATAAAAATAATAAATAATTAACTTGAACTTGCGCCTGGATTTATGAGTAATCTAAGTTTTAATTAACTTAGACTACTTAAATGTTTAAAGTCTTACGACCTGCTCCATCCATCCCCATCATTTTGCCATCACATAAACTGTATTTAAGGGAAACTGTCGTGTCTAAAGTTATGGGCGGTGCCTTAAAAATTGCGCATTTTTTTTGGATCCTTTCCTTATGACATTAGAATATCCTCGCCAAAAACATCTTTCAATCAATCTTTCCCAGTCCCTACCGCTCGCGCTAGCCCTCCCCCAGATACTGGCGTCAACGTAGTCTGTATAGATTCACTTTACCTCTTAAGTGCACGTTTGTTAATACAAAGTTTCGAACCTCTTTTGTAATTAAAATCAATAAAAATTACATTTTAACTCATTGTTTCTACTCAATACGCATATTGCGCTTGACATTGTGGGCGGAATTTAATCCTCATCACCATATATTCAATTAGCGTTGCTTAAGACGTCATAGGCAAGATACACTTCAGTAATGTTGAAAAGATGGATGACGACTGGGAAGTTAAACGTGCACGTCGGAGACAAATAAATCTATTTAAGATGGTTGAGGTACCTAAAGGTTCAAGGTTGCACAGGCTTAACTCCATTACAGCTGTGCCACCTCATTAAAAAAACTCACCAGCGCTACAAGGTCGTTGGCCGCTAGCGAAGTGAGGAGCAGCAGATGCTTCCTGTTGCGTACGCGTCTCTCGCCACGTCGGAGGGCCACGATGGCCGCGGCGTTGCCAACTATCCCCACGGCGTAGACCACCTTCACCAGCACCATGAACACCTTGCCGCCGTGCCGCAGCGGGCTCACCGCCACCGTCGCGTTAGCCGCGCGGTACAGCTCGGTGGTGACCGCCGGGGCGACGGTCGACAGCATGCTCTCCATCGCTAGGTTCTTCGGTCTCCCGCTTTGGAGCGTTTCGTGGACGCGGTCCGTTCCCCGTGCACTCTGCTTCACTGTACGCTCTTGTGACTCGCGCTTTGCATGGTACTTTTTTGTGTATTCTCTGCAAATAATAAAAATGCTCGGGTACACATATATACACAAGACACAAACAGATGGTCAGTTATGTAGCTTCTATATTTCAATATATTAAAGAGCCGATATGCTTCCCTATGAGACGGAAATTAAGACGTATCAACTTCTATTGCTTTACGTAAAGTTAAGACAGCAGTATTTTCGATGACTAAATAACGATTGTATCATCCGTGTATTGTGTTGAATTTATCGGAAAATAATAGGAACGAGACCGCAGGGATGTCTCAGTGGTCACCTAACCAACTGCTATTGGCCGCCGTGTAGGCGGTTCCTGGCTATACTTCATGTTGGTCGTTTTAATTATAGATCTCCTACTGATAAAATACAAAGCAGTAATTTTCAACGTCAAGTTTAGTAGTAAATTTATTTCTCTCCAAAGAATAGAGCCAACATTAACTTTGAACGATATCTCAAGTCTTTATTGCTCTAAAAGTAAACCAATAAATGTCGCACAGCCGAAAACCGAGCCGATAGTCGTAAAACGACGGGCTCTGTTGCATTGTCTATGGCACGCTGCAAGCGCACGTGTTATGCAGTACCTCGTTGATTTATTTATTTGTTTAAACTTTTACACAAAAAGTTAGCATTGTGTATAGGCGGACTTAATGCCTAAGGCATTCTCTACCAGTCAACCTATGGGCGACGCAGAGACAAAAGAGGCAGGTGTATTATTATAGATTTACTTTGTAGCTTAATCTTTACTACGTACAAAACTCCGTCAATGAGTCGCAATGTCGACATTCTAAACGTTTAAACTATCTGTCCACCCCGTAAGGTTCAAAAGAAGCGAAAGCCTGATTTGTTTTTATTTCAATTCATACATTGTTAACGACTTATTATTAAATTGCAGCTGCGATAAACTCACTCATTCATGATTTGTTCAAACATGTTGCATTAAGTTATCAAACGCTCTATTTCGAGTAACACGGTAAACTGGCCAGTCATTTTGCTTTTATCTTTTTGGGTGCATCGGGCCGTATGGAATCCGCCTGCCGTCACTCTATTAAATTTAATAATATTTCCAACTAAGCAACTGTTTTTATAAGGGTCATAATCTTTGAATCAAGTGTGAGTGACCTGTTAAACTGGCTGTTTGGCCGGTGGAGTCAACGTTAAAAAAACAAAAAAGTCTATACTTTTCGGAAAACTGCATTTATGATAAATATTGCAACTATGCATAAATATTGCAACTATTTATTGTTAACAATTTTATATAATGTCAGTATTCAAAATCGACTTCAGAAATCCAGACTTTTAACCAACTAAATTGTATCTACTATTAAATATCACAAAGAATACTAGTTCTTTGTGATATTTAAACGATTGCAGTGTTTACTGCCGTACTAATTATAGTACATAGTTATCGTTCATCGTAGTTCATTAAGGGCTAACTAAATACGCTTAATGACCGTTAATGTGTGTGAGGATTGAATTTACCACAAACGTCATGGTGCTTCAACGGTCAACTGCTGATAATTTCTTGCTTAAATAAATCCTTTGCTTTTAGATTATTTGTTTTGTTGGAGACAAATTACACAACCAAAATTACACACGGCAGTGTCCCTACCCAGATTCGGAAACATTACAGAGTTGTACTAACGTTCCGTACGAATCGAAGCTTCGACTAAACTATAACAACAGTCATATCCATCCGAATATAACTATTGCTATGAAGAAGGCATATACATAGTTATAAGAAATAACAATTAGAGTAGGTAGTTGTTAGTTGGTTATATTCAGGTGTTTTTTTTTTCTCATTGTTTTATTTTTTATGTCTACAAATAATAATATTGTTAAAAAATTAATTTTTATAGTTTATAATTTTTATTTTAAAGAAACGATTAACCCTAAGATATAATTTCAAGAAATATACGCGAGATATAAACGGGACGTGAATCTGATAAATCTGAGATTTTATATACGTCTAAAACTTATTTTAGAACGTTTTACTCGAAAAGAGGATTGAATTTGGGGCCCGACCTCAGCGGCGGCCTCAAAGTGGAAAGAAGAAAAAAAATGAATAGATGGAAAAGTGTATGAAAAGTGGTAGTGGAAGTGAGAAGAGTTAAAGAAGTTCAAGTGGAGGACTAATGCATACAAGAGAGACGTCACACGTGGTTAAAATTGTAAATAAAGTAAAGATTAGAATACCGGCCTTTCACTCCAAACCGGAACTCCTAGCTAATAACAATGTTTGAAAAGAAATTTATAACAATATTTAAAACTTTATAATTTATATTATACTCATCTCTGCACTTAAGATTAAACATTATTTTTGTCGGTGTGGCAATCAGCCTTCTAACTTAGTGGCTAAAGCGTCAGGCCGCGAATGCCGAAGACGTGGTTTCGATTCCCACAGCTGCGACAGTCTTTTCGTACTTTTTCTAAAAATTTTAATATTTAAAAATAATAACAATATTAAAAAAGAAAAACAAAGTGTAGGAATCGCTAACGCAGGACCGCGTCAAATTCAACCTGTCAACTAAGCAATAACCCTCTATAAACTCGCGGACCCGTCCGCCCTAACGGAATGGCCAGAGCTTGAAATAAATAACTCTACAAACGCTATTGTTAACGGGAAACGTTGAATTTGAACTTAACTCGTGTTAAATACTAAATTTAAACGTCTCTTTATGCACGTTTAGTAATTTGGTTTTAATATCTACTGAGAGTGTCATCCTCCTCATTTAGATTCTAGTTATTACATTTATACAAGCATAATATAGTGCATATATTTATCAGCGATAAACTCTATATATTATTTTTTCAGCACCTTGTGGAATTCAAGCAGGATTTGGTAAAAATACACGCAATTTTGAATAGTTTCTAACTTGGCCTTTGTGCATATTCGGTAAGTAACATTAAAAGATATCGTTATTGATATCGTTATTAGTAATTTAGCAAAAATAAGTAACTCGAAATGGAAGAATGGATATATATAGGTAATTCAAAAATAAATAACTGTAAAAGAAATGGAGCTTTGAAAAAATATATCAATGGAAGTTAACAGTGGTCAGGTCAGCGTTAACTGTAACCAGTGAAAGTGAAAGTATAATCCTTTTGCGTTTCGTCCTGTTAAAGAGGAAATCGGTGGTCCTCCCTTTCAGTCCCGGTTTTCTTCACGGATCCAAGGTTACAAAACTTTCAAGTTATTAAGAAATTCGGTTGGGCCTATTTCCTATTATTCACCATTTATCGCCTAAGTAAAACCTCAACCTGTGCTCTGATGTTCATTAATATGATAGATGCATTATTCAGGAACGCTGTCCCGTCCCGAATTGCGCCGCGTAACAATTTGAAATTCTAACTTAGATGAGCACAGCGCGTTCTTACATTGTCGGTCACAAATCGATCATCGGTTGTGAAAATAGACAATTCGACTTTTATTTTCTAATATTTTTTTTTAAATCATGCAATAAAGCGATTAAATATGAATAGTCGTAGTAAGATTTGGAGCAAGTCGACTGTTCAAGTCTGTTCAGTTCGAGATACTCTCGAGCTATAGTTACGCTAGGGAAAAAGTAACTTGTATGAATTGTGAAAGTATCAATGGTTCTGAGTAGACTATCGCAGCTTAGGACAGGTCGTAATTCGATACGAATCTTAATTATGTAATTAAGTCACTGCTAGTGTCGCCTTAAAATTACATAGTTTCGTCTGAGACATCCACATTCCATATTCTGTGGTAAAATGAGAAGAAATTATGATAAATAAATAAAAATACTTTACTAACTGAACGCATTCCCAATGAGTTTTTTTAACAGATTAACTTATACATATTTTTTTAATCTCTTAGGTCTAAAAGTGTCTCGATAGAAGAAACATATATTAATTAGCTATCAAAAATTAACTCTTAGTTTTTTTAAATTACTTTTAATACAAACAAACCCTTGTATAGTGGAGAAAAACATCACTTACAGTAGTAAAACTTAAAGCACACGCGTGGGAACACTTGAAAATATCAACGGAAAAAATGACAAATTCTTGAAGGCCGGCTGTTTCGTGAAAGTCTTAGCTTAAGTAAAAATTTTCTGGATTTCATAAAATAGCGCAACAACCTAGGGTTATTTGAAACAAACCATACAGAATCATGCTCAGATTTGTGCCTGCGTTAAATTAATTGTTGGTACCTTAGCAGCGGACAAGTGATGGATTGCTTTATAGTAGACAAAGTTACGTCACGTTTAAATCTTGATTAAGCGAAGTTTTATAACTTTTAAGGCACCTCGTCTAAAATATAGTTTTTCTTGTGAACATAGAAATCATAAGAAGAATCTAGATTTATAGAGATTGAAAGAAGAGAAATTCAGCAATGTCTTATCTTCTGATATTCATGTTATAAATAAGTTTTAGTCAATATTCACTCTGTAAATATTTTGAAAATTTTGTACAATACGTAGCAATTTAATTCATTTCATGGTTTCATTGGTCTCATTGCTTAGCTACCGGAAAGTCGTTGGAGATCATAGCTTCGATTTGTACGACCAGAAAATAGTTGTTCCGGCATTTGATTATTTGTCAAATTAGTGTTTGCAACATATCCTGATTACCCGGAATCATCTAATTTAACTAATAATATAATAAAAGAAACAAAAGCACACTTAAAGCAACAAATAGGGAGGAGCACCGTAAGTCTTGGTGAACTCGAAATATTTTTAATTATATTTCCAAAGGAGTTTTACGCTTCGAGTTAAGAGTATGCCTTAATTGTTAAAAATTGATTATAGGTAACCTTCGACATTTCCGTGTACTATATCCACTTGAAAGTATTAAATTGACATTGACCATAACTGTTCGTGCACTTAATGCATTATATACAATGTTAATGATGTAAAAAATATTCAACGTTGTATTTTATATTAAATATAATAAAAGTAAAGTAAAAGTAAAGTAACAGCCTATACATGTCCCACTGCTGGGCAAAGGCCTCCTCTATACAGAGGATTTTAGGGCATAGTCCACCACGCAGCCCCACTGCGGATTGGCGGACTTCACATATTTTCGAAATACATTTTTTTTGTTATTATTTCGAAAATATGCAGGTTTCCTCACGATATTTTTCTTCACCACGGAGCACGTGATAATTCAGCACTTAAAGTTAAAAACTTCATTGGTGCCGGCACCGGGGATCGAACTCAGGTTGCTCGAGTATATATTGAATTAAAGGCGAGCGCCCGGACATTGAGCTATCACGGCTCTAGAATTATCTCTATTAAATATAATACGCAAATATATTTTTTTTTAACAATTAGAGAAAAAAAATTATACGAATGGTTTATGCTTGCCGAGTTCCCCAACTTGAGACTGAAACTTTCAAATTTTACCGAATAGAAAAAAAAACAACGTGAAAAAAAATCATTAAAAAAATTACTCACGCTTGTTTCAAAGCACAAAACAAACACTAATAATCCCTTTTGCAGCGCAGTTAATTCACAATTATCGTACGTAGAGCGAGTTCGTTCACGGCGTAAGATCCGCGCGGCGAGATCCGCCTGCGTACCGAAAGAACGCGACGCGTGCGGTGACGGCCGAGATCCGCGCGCACTGAGCATGAGCACTGAGCACCCGCCACTCGACTAGCTGTAGCTAACAGCTAGTGCCGGCAACAAAACAAATTGTAAGCCCCCAATGTACTACGGCTTCTGTTGATGTACGTCGCAAACGCTCAGAGCTTTCTTAACGCGCTTTCCTCTGTATAAATAATCGTTGCAACTATAGCAACACTAAATGTTACTAATATTAATTTTACACATATGGCAACGTTATTATAACATTTCCTCTTCGGCTCCGGCGATCCCGGGCCAAATACACGCTTGTAACTTTGTCCTGTGATTTTTATTAATTACTCCGCTCCACGAACACCAGCACCTATCAAGATAAAGGCAGTCCAATCGCCCTACAATAGTATTAAGGCGTTGGACTATACCTATACGAGACGAAAATGTGGACAACTTCAGACACTTTCGATATAACGATATATTTCGATATGTACGTCTTTTATTATTTCTTGAAAAAGCGACCCGATGATGTACATGATATTACCATGGCAACCAAGGACAATTTTTTGACTTTTACCTTCTATTTTAAAATTATAACCGTTATCAATTACATTTTCCTCGTAGTATTTTCCTCCGCGACCGAGCACATCACATCAGTACCTAACGTTGCTAGGTGTTACTTACATGATGTTAGCAATGGGATTTAAAAAAAAGCTTGAGTATAAGTACTGTATTTAAAATGACCACAATGACAGATGACTAAGGTAAGCCACTTAAAGCTTCTCGCTGGTGCGGTTAAAGTTTTTTATTTTCATTAGCATTTGCTAATTGAATTTCCTATTTAAAACTCGGATAAAAACTCACCGTGATACATGTGGTCAGACGAGAAAGTAACGCACTCTCCCAGAATGGCAGCATATAATGGCAGTATTAAAATTCTCCTCTAATGTAATGATGGTGGCTGAAGACTTAATTGGAGATAGTGAGACCTTAAATGTGGCAATTAATCAAGGGCGAAGGAAGAGGCTCTTAAAAGGCTTTAAAATTCTATTTTCACTAGTGTCCAAGTTCATCAGAAGGAGACAGGTAGACAAGTGTTTTGTTTTAATTATAACAGTGTTTACCTTCCGTCAGTACTCAGGCTCAGCGATTTTATTCGAAAACATTGACGTAACGTTACTGTAAAGTTAACTGCGAAGTTTTGGTGACCTGTCATTTTAGGTTCTAATTAGTATTCGTCCATAGTGAAGCCGTGTTAATACTAACTGCAATTAGTCAGATAAGGGCCATTTAATTTTTGGATAATGTTGTTAGCCGCATGACTACAATTAGTAAATTCTAAGACTCAAGGAGATAACGTAGTGGTGTTTAGGTGAGTCGAGTAGGAGTTTCTATTCACAGAACTTAGTATCAATAATGAGTATTCATTCAGTAATGTTTTACTTACTTTAAATTGATATTTCTATTTTTAAGTTTTCATCTTTTTAAGTTATACCTCTTTTGGAAAAAAATATGAGAGTAAAATTTTAACGATGCGCGGGCCGACACCGACCCCCAAAAAGCGACATGATAATATACATAATTATATGATATTTTCATGCAATGACACCTATTGGACATTTACCTATAATTTCAAGTTATAACCGTTATCAATTACATTTATATATTTTTCACAAACAAAGAGGAAAGTCACAGGGAATACATTTTTAATTTTTCTTTTGTTACGCTAAAGAAGTTTTACGCCTTACGTGCGTACATAAGTACACACACACTTTTTTCTACTTTTCATGTTAAATACAAATAAAGGCGATAATTACTAGGCGTTCTTAAATAATCAATGAGCGTAAAAGAAAAAGGGAATGTCCTAAAAGAAAATATTGAGAAATAAATGAAAAAATTGTTTAACAGCAATTAATCATATTATTAAAACAAAAAATCTTATAATAATTGATTCAAAACTATTTCAGATACACCAAACTATCACTAGTAAACATGTCAGGGGAAAGTATTTAAGACACGACTCCTGTTCGCTGAAGCATAACTTTCATCAAAGCAAATTTATTATTAAACGAGGAAAAGAACATTATCAAATCAAGGATGGTAACCAAGGATAATAAAGCTTTTATCCTTACTAATACTATAAATGCGAAAGTTTGTATGTATGGATGTTTGTTACTCTTTCACGCAAATACTTCTAAATGGATTCTAATGAAACTTTACAATAATATAGCTTATACATCAGAAAAATACACAGGCTATAATTTATATACATATTTTATGTATATCTGTCTTTCTGTTTGAATGTTACGCCTTCAGCCTTTTCTACGCAAATGTATTCGCGGGCAGCAGCTAGTACACCATATATGCATATTTAAACCTGAAATATTGGGACGACTAAATTTGTTTATTCTTTATTGGTATTGGTATAGAATAGATATAATTTTTTAATAGAATTTATCATTATTTTATATGTGCCTGTAGCCTGGGCCCACTTTATTAAAAGGCAACGCATCTGCAACCCTGCGGGTGTTGCAAATGTCAATGGGCGGCTGTTATCACTTAACATCTGGTGATCCGCCAGCTCGTTACACTCGTAAGAAGTGAAACTTTTTTATGACGTTATTTTTCAAAAAATAATTTACTATATGCAACTTTACAGAAATTGGTTAAATAAAGTTAAATTAGATAAAGTTTAATAAAAAGGTTTTATTATCATAGGCATAAATACAAATTCTACAATTATTTCATTTTAGCTTTGTATAATATTTAGTTTCTTATTTGTAATACATAGGTGGCGTTAGTAGTAAATTAAAACACACTATGGTTTGACCGTTCTAATTAGTATGAGGGTCCGCAAAATTGTTGATTAAAAAACTTGCAACTTGCGTCCTTCGTTGCCGAATAGTCAGCCAGTGAGTAGAAGGCAGACATTCGACTCGCACGCCAGTGTTGTGAGTGAAGTTTTTTTGGAAAACCGAACTTGCGGACGTTGGATCGAGGTCGCAACCGCAAGTTCCAGGAGCCGATCGCTTCGAAGAGCATCATTGGTCAGCTTCAGATTGTGTCTTCAGTGGGCGGTGCTTGCCTTTGGAGAAGAGGAAGTCAAGTCTCTACAGTGTCGTGCTCTGAAGTATTAGAGCTAGCACTGTCATTTTACTATAAATATTATTATTGAATTTCATTAATTGTAATAGAATTATTACTATCATTGATGTCGTTATTATATATTTGTGTTATTAATGGCTTATATGGTAACTGAAATACGAAATATATTGTTTACATTTTAGAATTAGAATTAAAATAAACCCTTTGATTTTGCTGATCACTTTAATATAACATATATATATATATTGTTATGAACACACAAACGATCTAGCGTCAACTATTAAAACCACAACAACAAAATGGCGCGTAACGCAAAAATGTTACGCTAAATTTTTTCCCAACCCCGATAAAGAAGTTTCACTTCAAAAAAACATAAAATAGCCTGCTGCAGTTTTCTTTCACAAAAATGTACTTGCTCAAACAGCAATATATGGTACATGTGGAAAATAATAGGTAAATAACATACATGTTAGTTAAACCATTCTCTGGTGGATCGGGAAAGTTACTATTTTTATAGACAAAAAAAGAGTAACACTTTTTAACGTTTGTACCAAATAAAAATATCAAATCAGATTTATACAATAAGCGAATAATTGGTTTGGACGCCGACATTCTTACTTACATGTATTAAAAAAGTCAGTATAGTGTTCTGAAGCATAATATACAATAAAACTTATTTGTTTTAATGTTGACAAAATGCCATTCCGTCTTTTCCTTATTATTGACATATTGTAATTCTCTGATTTAAAAAGAAATACCAATATTGTAACACGAGTCAAGCAGATGTCGCATTACTCTGCTTATTTAGTCAAATTTAGTGCATATGCACATAAGCATGGAATGCAGCTTTCGTAACCTTTTGTAATTTGTGTTATCACACGATGAACCCGGTTTGAATCTGTGGGCGGTGGCATCAGACCAAAACAGGAACCATAATATTATAGTTACGAGTAGAATCGTTAAGTTAGTATAAAGTAACACTTTCAATATAGTATACAGTTACACTATCGCATTGATATAACGTGTAAAGATAGTTGTAAGTACAAATATTATAAATATTACATCCTGGTACAAAGCTGGAACACATTAATCTCTGAAATTTTTATTTGCTTACTATTTTATATATTGCGTTACTCACTATGCTATCCTTCACCTTGTGGTAAATCAGTACTTAAAATTTACAACTTCATTAAACAGTTAACGGTTTCATATGTATCGGAACTTGGGTTATTTGAAGATAATGTGTAATGATAATCGAGCGATACTGAGCCACCACTTTGCCTCTTATACACACAAAATGTAGGCGAAGAACTAAATGAAAATAATGTGCACCTGCCGGACACAAGAGGCATTTCGCACACGCCGCACGTATCTGAGTGATCATTAGAAAAGGGAACGGTATTCCGAGAGATTTTTCTCATAAAACCTCTTATGAAATATTTAAACGGATGTGCTGTACGAAAAAACGTGCAATTGACACGCATTACCACCGACAGACCGACACCTTTCACCGTTAACGGGCGCTATCTTGTCAGGTCATTGTTTAATCTAGGGACAGCGTAGATTTGTCAACCCCACCCTACAACTTCAGATATTTCCTTACGTTAAATCTAACAATGTATCAAATCTATCATGGACCATTATTGATCGTCTTCGTGAGAAGATTTTGCCATTTTGAATATTACTCCAAGCTCAACCACTAAGGGGTTTGAAAATACGTAGAGTTCCTCATTCTGATGTACATACATTGATGATGATTTTAATAACCGTCTACTGCATGTGCAATGGAGAATAAGTGATGCATAATCATGTGCATCACTTGTTCTCCACTACCCATTCCAGTACTCTAACCACTTGATATCATAATGATCATTTTCTCACCAAATAGACTGTAGCAGGCCTGTTTTTAACTACTGAGATTGTGGGCCTCTAGTTCCCTCACTTATCGGGTGAAACGTAAATGTATAATAAACATTTTAACTTCAACCTGATATTCCTGAGTCAAAATCCCTGAGTGAAAGATCAGTGTCTGAGCGCAATGCGCTTGTCAATCCGCAATGGGGTCGCGTGGGGGACTATGCCCTAATGCCCTCTCTACGGAGGAGGCCCCTGCCCAGCATTGGGATATTCTTTGGTACAGTGGCATTTGGCCCGATACTTTTCCCTATTTATGTAGCGATAGTTAGAATTTACGTCGCTGTTGTTTTACCATATTCACAGCTTGACATAACATGAACAAAAACAATAATTTATATTCTTTGATGACATACTAATATTTTAATAATATATGTATACAGCGTGTCGTTACAACCGCGACAATAAATGAACACACGTCTAACGCTACTTGCCAATAATCATAAAAAAATATTAACGTTAAAAAAATCTATAATTAAAAAACGTTTTTTTTTTTCACAAACTAATTAAATAAAAAAGAAACAAAATTTGTAACATCCTATACAACTACAACTGACTGATTCATACATTCAGATACTTTTTCAATCGTTGCCACAGCGTCGCATTACAAATCTCTCCTTCTAACAGTATGTTTTACCTCTTTTAAATTCATTCAATACTTTGTGACCTTTACAAATGAACTTTAGGTTACAGTTTTATACGTAAGGGTGTTCTAAAATTGTTTGTTTTGGAAAATTTAATAACTCGGTAAATATTGATATTTAAAGAATGTAAATGTTTAATACAATTTTAAAAAGTTATCCTCTATATGTATAATTATGTGTTCATTTATTGTCGCGGTTGTAACGACACGCTGTATATTGTTTACTAAAACCACAGGAAAAATTCTTACGTCATTC